AGTGAGTATATCTTTTATTTATCATCTTTGCAGATTGTATGGCTTCTTGAATCTGTGACTTGAGGTCTTTCATCAATTTGGGGAAGTTTTTAGCTGTCATCGCTTCAAAATTGCTTCTGCCTCCTTCTATCCCTCCTTCTTTTCTTGGACTCTAATTCCCCATATATTAGACCTTCTCACTTTATTATTAATGTTTTCCTGCTTTCCTGTCTTCTGTATTTTTCATCTTTTTTCTCTCCTTGCTTCATTCTGGATATTTTCTTTGCACCTATCTTCAGATTCACTAATGCTTTCCCCTCTCTTCAGCTGGGTTTAATCTGTTGTTAAACCCACCTATTGCTTTCGTAATATGTCATTTTATTTTTCAGTTGTAAAATTTCCATTTGGCTCTTTTTATTATTTTCAATTCTCTGCTGAAATTCCCAACATGACTTTTATCTCATTGATTACTTTAAGTTTTGTTATTTTGGAGACTTCATCTGGTAATTCCAACTGTGGACCTTTTCTATTGTCTGTTTTTCTGTTTGTTTTTATTCATGTTATTGTGTCTCTTTATGTGTGTGTGCATGTATCAGACATTGATTTTTAAAAATGTTCATAGAGATAATGTAAAGCCTAAAATGTTGATATTTTTCTCCAAGGAGGCCTTTTTTTTTTTGCTTCTGCCAGGTGTCTAGGGCATTATTATTATGGGATCCTCTGAGTCCAAATTCAGAGACTGAGATATTTTGAAGGTGCATGGTTTTCCCGTGAGGTCCTGTGTACTTCCAGCTCACGCCCATTCCTAGGGTGTGGCGGTCTTGGGTCCCAAACTACAAGCATGGAGATTACTAAGGAGGGGGGTTACTAGTTCCCCTTCTCTTAGTGAGTCCTGGATTCCACTCACTGTCCTCATAGCCTTGAAAGGATTTCAAAATCTATTTAATCTCTCAGCTGCTTTTGCAGAAATTACAATGCTCCCACGGCAAGATTAACCTCAATCATGGGCTTACTTCTCTGGTTCTCTTTCATTCCCCAGAAACTGTTCCAATATTTCTTTACTATCTTGTTAGCTCTATCATGCCTTCAAGTAGATTAAATTTTTTCCTCAGGTTTTCAAGTTGTCCTAAGTAGGAAGGCTTGTCAGAATTATCTGTTCTGCCATTAGCAAAAATGTTAAGTTCCACGTATTTAATATAATTTCCCTCAGATTTTCTAGATGTTTGTAATGGGAGATGTTCCTTGTTAGTCTTAGTCCTTCATGTTGCCTCAATGTAGGAACTAAGTGTCGAAATTATAAAAGACACTATATTCTAGTGGTTAAAAGGTTGGTCTGTGTAGTCAATGAGATTTGGGTTTAAATAGTGGCTTTACATCTTCTTTTTACATTTATATTTTAGATTGTCTGAAAAAGAACTAGCAGATGATTTCCTGTGTTCTTTGAAAGTCTAATCAATTGTGAAGATGAAATAAGAATATTAATAAAGCATTAGCATAGGGGTAGCCATAGGGGAATGAATACTCTAGAAACGGGTTGTTGAAAAAAGAAATCTTGGCTCTATGGAAAAATATCCCTTTAAAGAGAGAGACTTGGTGATTACAACCTCATTCAAATGATCAGACTTACACGCTCACATAGTAGAACAATCAGACATCGTGCACTTCTTTATGCGATATAATAAGAAGTATGTAACATCACCTATGCAGTATAATTGCTAAATATGTTTCACCTGAATCAAATCATAAAAAGACAATCAGAGAAATCAATTATAGAACATTCTATCAGATAACCAGCCTGAATTCTTTAAAAAAGGTCAATATCCTGAAAAACAAAACCAAAAGCTGGAGGATGCTCCTGGTTAAAACAGATTAAAGGGGCATAAAAAAATGATATGCATATGTAAACTTTGTTTGGCCTCTGAATCGGAAAAAAAATATATAAAAGATATTTTTGGGGGCCATTGGGGAAATTTAAATAGGGATTATAAATTAGATGGTATTATTGAGTTAAAAAGTTTTAGATGTGAGAATGATATTGTATACCGGCGAGTGTACTTAGGAGACGCATGCTGAAGGCTTTAGGGGTGAAGTACCATCATTGCGCAACTTATTTTCAAATGCTTCAGCCAAAATAAATGATAAATAAAACAAATGTGGAAACGTTAACAACTGCTATATCTAGGTGAAGGGGATACATGAGAGTTTTTTGTCATATATTTACTTTTCTGGGGGTCCAAAATTTTTCAAAATAAAAAGTTGGAGGAACAGTCTTGTCTCGTTTGAATTACTCATTCTCAGCTAAGTTTTTAATTCATTCAATAAAAACTAATTAAGTACCTACTATGTATTACACACTCTTATAGGTGCTGGGAAGTAGTGATGAACTAGATAGATAAGCTTATTCTCCAAAATTCAGTTTCCTCATCCATAAAATGGATATAGAGTAACAGTACCCTCTCCCCACCCCACAGACACACAAGCACAATGCTTGTAGCAGAGTAGGCACTCAGTAAATGTTGGCTATTATAATTAATCATCTTTGTCCATTGTTGATCTAATTTCATCCATTTGATCATTTTGGTCTTTCAACTCTACTTTAAATAAAAATGTGTGATTTTCCATCATATGTATTACTCTTCCCAAACCATTTCCTGATGTTACTACCCATCTTATTTTTGTTAATATTATTGGGGCATTTGAAGGTTTGGAAAGAACATATTATATAAAGTCAAAGCAAAGATGAAATTAAAATGGTTAGGGTATATTTTTCAAATTAGGCTTGTATATACATGAGTATTCTAAGGTCTAAAGCTTATATTCTTATAGATTTTATTGATGATTACGTCCTAGTCTAAGATTGGGTTATAAACTAGACGCAACTAAAGAAAGGTTTCTAAAAAAAAAAAAAAAAAAAAAACACTAGATCTTGAACTGAATAAATATTAAACAACAGTGGAAATTCCTTAATACTCTGTCCCAATAATCTTGCCTCTTTTTACAAACTGTGTATAGGTAACGTCATTTTATCTATGAGTAAGAGCACTCCTTCCTTCCATTCTACTCCACCCACTCATGTACTCAGATGCTAATGGCTTGGTCTGATAAATGCACAGTTCATTCTAAGCCCATACCATAAAATTGATCACTAAGTTCCCAAACTTTCCTTTCAGTGTAGACGGTGATCATAGCTTATAACTTATTATACAAAAAATTATTTTAATGCTATAGTACTAAAATTCAAACTAAAGATTATTCACATAACTTGCAAAATAATACTTAAAACTGCTTGGGGTGACCCAATAATTAAAAATAATAAGTGATACTTTTGGGTTAAGTTTATTTTCAAGTGTTTATTAAAGAAAATAAAACAAAAAATTTCTACTTTCCTATTTTTCTCTTACAGCTTTTGAGAAGACTAGAACAATTATTCATATATTAGCATTAATATTAAGCATCCCATACATCTTACAGGTTGTACATTGCATTTCAATACAGTCTTATCTGCTAACAACACAGCATATTATTTTTATTAAACATTCTGGGTAGGACTAAAATAAATAATATAGAAATAATTTAAGAAATCTTTATGGAATATCTACTATGTTCTAGGTTTGAGGAGTAGAAAAATAAATAAATGGTCCCTGCCATTAAGAAGTTCACAGTCTAAACGGAGAAAGACAAATAAAACAGACAATTTAAAGTAGCACAACAGCTTTGAGAGTGGTGTGCACAAGGAACTACAGGAATCTTAAGAGGGCCACTTAATCTAGAATGATAGAAGTTAGGGATGGTTTCCAGGTCAAGATGATGAGTTCTAAAAAAGAGTTTGCCAAGAAAAGAATTACTGGTGGGTGAGAAGAACATTCCTATAGATGGAATTGTCAAATAGTCCTAGAGACTGGACTGGCCCCTTCCAACTCTAAGAAGACAGTCAGAGACAACCAACCATCAGGTGCTTGATCCAATAATGGGAATTTGCATAGAGTGGAGCATCTCTCGGATATTTGCCTATTTGTTAAATACTGGTTTCCTGGATTCTCATTTTTTGTGCTATCGAGCACACTTTTGGAAGAAAACCCCATACTAACTAAAATTTTTTTGTAGATACTTTTTACTATGGTGCTGACCACAGATTAAGAACAATCTGGTATAGTACTTTTTTTTTTTTTTCTTTTTTTCCTTTGTGAGGAAGATCAGCCCTGTGCTAACATCTGCCAATCCTCCTCTTTTTTGCTGAGGAAGACTGGGCCCAGGCTAACATCCGTGCCCATCTTCCTCCACTTTATATGGGACAGCGCCACAGCATGGCTTGCCAAGCGGTGCGTCGGTGTGCGCCCGGGATCTGAACCAGCGAACCCCGGGGCTGCCACAGTGGAATGCGTGCGCTTAACCGCTTGCACCACCGGGCCGGCCCCTATATCATCTACTTTTAAGAAAAAGAGAACAAAACGAATTAAAGGTTCCTGGAAAACTATAAACTTTAACAAAGTTAGGTATATAGGGTTCTCTAAAATATTTTTCTTTCTTTTAAATGTGGAGAAAACAGAAAGGAGCTGAAAGTCCTTTGTCTTGGTTATCTACAAGTAGCACACTAGATGGTGCCGTAAGGCTGTCAGAAAGAAAGTTTCACCAAGAAAAACAGTGTGGCAGTTCTGATGGCAGTTAAGTATTCTGGAAACTTTCCATATATTTTCAGCCCCTGAGAGCAATTCCAGGTCTGTAGGCAAGTAACGGGATCTTAATCTCACAAGTTTTAGCCATTTGGTCAGATTAGTTTTAAACTAAACCACAAGTTTTGAAACACATTTTAAAATGGTTTCAGTGTGTGACAATTCAATCTGATTCCACTGAAGTGGAAATTTTTAAGTTACTGAAATAAAAATTTATTATACATTTAAACATATTGCTATTAATTTCATTTAGGTAGTCTTCCCATGAGCCTCGTTATGTCTACTACTTAATGAATCTCTAAGTCAGTTTCTTTGAATGGTTTCCTGAATTTTTAAATTATTATTATGCAGAAAATACCAAACTCTCTTATCTTTATTAAAGTACTGCAATATACTAATACAAATACATGAAACAATACATTTTGATATCACTCTATCAGTACAGTATTTCTTATATAAATAACATTTCATGATTTTTCCACATTACAATAAAACCAGAAAAATATTTTTTACTAAAGTGCAAAATAAAAACAAAGCTTTACTTTTATCATATTTTCCACTTAGTTTTCTTTTGAATGTTAAACATTAAAAAGGTGAACAAAAAAACTGAATGGATAAAGATATACCTTTTGCAACTTACGAGTTGTTTTAAACTCTCAAATTTATGAGATGTTTGTGATTTTTCTGCTTATCTTTCCAGTTCTGCTTCTAGAATCTCCCCCCACGTATCTGCATCCATCGGGTACATGATTTTTTCTGGTAGGCTAACAGAAGAACATATGTTGCTGTATCTGCCACTTAACCATTCATATTTCACTTTACTCTTCTGGTAATTCCTCAGTAGTATTACCTGAAAGAGGTAAACCATCATCGTTAAAAAATGTAGTAGGCGGTTGGTTAGTGAGTTTGTTTGAAACTACAGAAGCTGGGCTGGGCCAGTGGCGTGGCGCTTAAGTTAAGCTCATGCGCTCCGCTTTGGTGGCCTGGGGTTCCCTGGTTAAGATCCTGGGCGTGGACCTATGCACTGCTCATCAAGCCGTGCTGAGGCAGCGTCCCACATAGAGGAACTAGAAGGACATACAACTAGGATATACAACTATGTACTGGAGGGCTTTGGGGAGAAAAAAAGGAAAAAAAAGAGGAAGATCAGCAACAGAAGTTAGCTCAGGGCCAATCTTCCTTAAAAAAAAAAAAAGAGAAACTAGAGAAGCTGATGGACAGGGCTAAAAAGAATGAGTATTTACATTAATATACATATATACTCATAAATGTGTGTGTGTGTATAAGTGTATATATATAAAGAGTGAACCACAGAGTTTGCTGAGGATTTTAGATAAGGAGGAGTAAAAGGAAGTAGCCACTTTCCTTCTGGTTAATGGGGGAAAATGGCCGAACTTAGGACGTAAAAAATGTAAAAAGATGGATGGGAGACAGTGTGGTTTGCAGGAAAAGAAGAATAATTCAACTTTAACACTAAAAGCCAACACACTCTGTATGTCATTGTGTATATGAACCCCTGCCTCCTCCAAATAGAAGGTAGAGTTGGCTCAAACCTACCACCGTCTTGTCAAGCACACTGTAGACTACAAAGATTAAACTTACCCTCCAGGAGTAACCCCTTTTTTGATCATCATCTATTTCTCTTTGGCACACAGCTCTTACGGTCAAGCAATGAGGTTTCCATAAAGAGTCACTGTTTCTTATTGTGTAATTCCAGCTCCTGCATGCCATTGAAGCCCTGCACAAACTCCGAATGTCCAGCTGACTGAAAATTTTAAAAGTAACTTCTGGAGGCAGCAGTTCAACAAAGTTATTTTGACTCTCTTTTTTTGCCTTCTCAGCATCCACAGAGTTCAAGTCTATGTCAGAACTTCTTGAATTATTGTTCCTCTTGGAGTTTTTCTGCATAGCGTGATGTTTTAGTAAATTATCCTCATATGTAACCTAAAAGGCAAAGTTTTAACTTAGTTTCTTCAGATCAACCCTGAGCCAGATACTTTCTGGGTATGATCTAGAAAACTTTAACTTTCCTGACCTGAGCTTCTCAGTCTGTAAAATGGGGCCAATGATGCTCTTCTCCTGTGTGTTCTTGCAAGGATTAACAGGGATAATGTGTAAAACATCCAGCCCTCACACTGGAATTGCACATGGGAAGCACTCAACATATGTTATTTCCCTTCTTCTTTTTAAATATTTTTAGTAAATGGGTTTGTTTCTAAATATTTATTTTTCTGCTCCCAAAGAACATTATCTAAAAAAGAGAAATGAGAAAAAAAAAGAGAGAAGTGATTCTTCACAGATACAATTTATTGAGTTTAGTAGTAGAAATGACTATTGTGAGAACACATTCAATTTCAAATATTTATTAAAAATACTTTTGAAAATGTGTATGATTCAATTCTATTAAACTCTTGAAAACTTGATGTCTGTGGGAACTGATGCCTTGTCATTAAGTTCTTCATCTACAATTTGTGACTTAAGCATAAACCTGATGGACTTTTAGTAGTTTATCTAAGAATTATTTATCTACTTGTATCTAGTGGGTAAATTCTCACATTTGACACAAATACTATCTGAAATAGACAAGAGGTTGAGGTCTGGGTTTTAATGCCACAAAGTCTCAAATATTCAATTCAGTTATAAGATTAGTGTTTTAAAAATGACCTCCTGAAGCTATCCTACATGCCAAGTTAATTATGAACTAAAGATAATAGTTACTCAGGCCATCAAGCAACAGTGACTAACAACTATAAACGACGTTTATAATGCAGTTAGGTATAGCTTGTGACTAAAGATTTAAAGTCCAGTTTCAGCTAATTTACCTAACGTGCATGTTGCAGGTTTCTGAAATCAGTTGAAAGCATGGAGCTCTTTTTGCATTTAAAACAACTAATATTTATTTAAAATCAGTTTATTCTATGTTGTATTTCCTTTTATAACGGGGTGGGGGGTGGCACTGCAGGAGGTGCGGTTTCAGATACAGCTAAATACTTCTTTTAACTCAGCTAATGACAATTCCCCTTTCTAGATGCACTACTCACCTATATGTTTCTGGACTTGCCAAGACCACAGTTGCTCCCATTCATTCATTTGGTTGCTTACGATCCAAATTAGCTATGGCGGTTAGACTTTTAATGTCTCAGTTCAACAGAGGACTTCCTCTTGAGGGTTTGGGGAAGTAAGAAAGTAAACTGGTAAAAATAAGTTCATGAATGAAGAGCAAGTGTGTGTGTGTGTGTGTGTGTGTGTGTGTGTGTGTGTTCCCCCCCCCCCCCCCCGCCATTAATACAAACCAAAGCCAAACTACCATATTCTTGGAAAGAATCTCATATTAAGAGAAGGTTACTGTGCTTTTAAATGTTTGTTACTTCTCCCAGGATCTCATTGGGGAATAAACTGAATGTTACTGTTCTCCCGTTACAGTTACTCCGCAGGAGGCAGATGAAGGCTTTTGACTTGAACAGTCGGGGATGCCTTGGTGAAGTTCCTAAAATCCTGTTAGGCATCTTCTTCTAAACCCAGTTTTGCCTGGAGCCTGGAAAACTATCCCTCTTCTGCCCCTTCTTCTCTATGAACCAAATTTTGCTGAATTACCTCTCTAATCAGTTATGAGCTCGCCCCTTGTTCAGGTGTCACACGGAGGGAGGGGTCGAGGGCAGCACAAGACGGAGGGGCGCCACCTGGTTCTCTAGGAGGCCCCACCCGGTCCAGACCACGCAGGTCGCAAAGGAATGACCCCAAGTCCCATCTGAGCCACCCTCCTTGCGTGCCTTGCGCAGGCTGCCCCTGCCCGAGTGCAAAGAACACGGGGCACTGACAAGTGAACAACAATAACAACCGTCAGCACCGACTGTCACCGCAGCTCGGGGCCGCGGAGGCGAGGCTGCGCTGGCGCCAGGACTGCGCCCCCGGTCGTGCCCACGCGACGTCTGCGGGCAGGGAAGATCCTCCTACCTACTGGGCCGCGGCGGCTTCTCCTCCTGCGATTTAAATCCTCCGCAATTCGAATTTTTCGCCATGGTCCTTCATGTCCCGCCCACTTTAGCCCGGCCTTGCTGACTCAGATGTCGCACAGGCGTAGAGAGGAACGCGCACTGCCTTTTGGGATTGGTAGTTTTACCAGGGCGTCTCAGCTCGGCAGGGGAGGAGAAGGAAGGCGGCAGGGACTACAAGGTCCGGCGTCCTCCAGGCCCGGACGGGGGGAGTGAGAAAGGGTGGGGGGATTAAACCGGGGCTTTCAAACGATAATTTTGAGCCCTCCCGATGGGGGAATCCCTGAGTGCGTAGCTTGTCGGAATGGAAAGGCGGGGCTGGGACACCTCTCTGGGGCCCCTGCTGCGCGGGGACTGGACACGGCTGAGCCGAGTCTTTGCTCCCCCTCCCCCTGTGTTTTTCCGGGGGCCGGCGTAGGTCCCGCGCCTGTCCATGGAAGGCGGAAACGGCCGCGGGGTCCATCTCCTTGTGAAGGGGCCTGATCGTCGCCGCCATGTCTGGGGGCTTCGAGCTGCAGCCGCAGGACGGCGGCCCCCGGGTGGCCCTGGCGCCAGGGGAGACGGTGATCGGCCGCGGGCCGCTGCTGGGAGTAAGTGTGGCCCGGGGCTGGGCCGGACCCGGAGAGCCGAGGGAGGTCCTTGCAGGCTCCCAAGGCCCCCCTCCCCGCCCTGGCCCGATTCCTCACCACGCCAGCTCTGCCTGTCTGGGTATTAGAAGTTTGGGGGCAGCACGTTTTTCAGTCAACTTGAATCAACTCACAAACGTTTCCTTATGTTGCCTTTAAAAAGCACTGACTTATGTTATCATTATAACCTTATCCAGGAGCCCACAAACTATGACCTTGGGTCCAAATCCAGCCTGTTTTTCCAGAACTAAGAATCGTTCTCAAATTTTAAAATATAAGCAAATAAAAAACCTCTTAGCTTTTCAGAGAGAATAATTGCTCCAGGGATTGAGGATAGTGCCTCTTGGCCTGACAAGCCACAGTATCTGGAGTAGTATCTGACCCTTTACAGAAAAAATTTGCCAACCTCTGATCTTACTTTTTTTGTATGTGCAATTTACACCTTTCACCCTTCTGCTCTGGTAACCACCAATGTGTTCTCCTTCTCTGTCTTCACATAAGAGTGAAATCATGGTATTTGGCTTTCTCATCTGACTTATTTTGCTTAGCATAATACCCTCAAGGTCCATCCATGTTGCAAATAGCAAGATTTTATCCTTTTTTTACTGGCTGAGTAGTATTCTATTGTGTGTGTATACCACATCCATTCATCCACGGATAGGCACTTAGGTTGCTTGCAAGTCTTGGCTATTGTGAATAATGCTGCAGTGAACATAGGGGTGCATATATATCTTTTCAAATTAGTGTTTTTGTCTTCTTTGGATAAATATCCAGAAGTGGAATAGCTGGATCATATGGTAGTTTTATTTTTAATTTTTTGAAGTCTCCGTACTGTTTTCCGTAGTGTCTGCAACAGTTTATATTCCCACCAGCAGCGTGTGAGGTTCCCTTTTCTCCACATCCTCTCCAACACTTCTTATTTCTTGTCTTTTTAATAACAGCTGTCCTGACCAGCGTGAGGTGATATCTCATTGTGGTTTGATTTGCATTTCCCTAATAATTAGCAATGTTGAATATCTTTTCATGTGCCTTTTGGCCATCTGTATATCTTCTTTGGGAAGATGTCTGTTCAGATCCTCTGTCCGTTTTTTAATCTAGTTTCTTTTTGTTGTTGAATTGTATGAGTTCTTTAAGTATTTTAGATATTAACCCCTTATTGGAAATATGACTTGCAAATATTTTCTCCCAGTTGGTAGGCTGTCTTTTCATTTTGTTTATGGTTTCCTTTCCTGTACAGAAGCTTTTTAGTTTGATGTAATCTTGTTTGTTTATTTTTTCTTTTGTTTCCTTGGCCTTAGGAGACATATTCAAAAAGATACTGCTAAGACTGACATCAGAGGGTACTGTGTATGTTTTCTTCTAGGAGTTTTATGGTTTCAGGTCTTACGTTTAAGTCATTAATCTATTTTTTTTTTTATTTATTTTTTTGTGAGGAAGATCAGCCCTGAGCTAACATCCATGGCAATCCTCCTCTTTTTGCTGAGGAAGACCAGCTCTGAGCTAACATCTATTGCCAATCCTCCTCCTTTTTTTTCCCCCAAAGCCCCAGTGGAAAGTTGTATGTCATAGTTACACATCCGTCTAGTTGCTGTATGTGGGATGCGGCCTCAGCATGGCCGGAGAAGAGGTGTGTCGGTGCACGCCTGGGATCTGAACCTGGGCCACCAGTATCAGAGCACACGCACTTAACCGCTAAGCCACGGGGCCGGCTCCATTAATCTATTTTGAGGTAATTTTTGTGTATGGTGTAAGATAATGGTCTACTTTCATTCTTTTGCATGTGGCTGTGCAGTTTTCCCAGCACCATTTATTGAAGAGACTTTGTTTTCTCCATTGTATGCTCTTGGCTCCTTGTTGAATATTAGCTGTCCATAAATGTGTGGGTTTATTTCTATGCTCTCATTTCTGTTCCATTGATCTGTGTGTCTGTTTTTGTGCCAGTACCACATTGTTTTGATTACTGTAGCTTTGTAGTATATTTGAAATCAGGGAGTGTGATGCCTCCAGCTTTGTTCTTTTTTCTCAAGAGCGCTTTGGCTATTTGGGGTCTTTTGTTGTTCCATATAAATTTTAGGATTCTTTGTTCTATTTCCATGAAAAATGTTGTTGGGACTTTGATAGGGATTGCATTGACTCTGTAGATGGCTTTAGGTGGTATGGACATTTTAATTTTAACTATGTTAAGTCTTCCAATCCAAGAGCATGGAATATCTTTCCATTTCTTTGTGTCTTCTTCAATTTCCTTCTACAATGTTTTATAGTTTTCAGTGTACAGGTTTTTCACCTCCTTGGTTAAATTTATTCCTGGATATTTATTCTTTTTGTTGCGATTGTAATTGGGACTGTAGTCTTGATTTCTGTTTCTGCTGTTTCATTGTTAGTGTATAGAAATGCAACTCAGTTTTGCATGTTGATTTTGTACCGTGGAACTTTACTGTATTCGTTTATTATTTCTAATAGTTTTTTGGTGGATTCTTTAGGTTTTTTTAATATATAAAATTATGTCATCTGCAAATAGTGACAGTTTTACTTCTTCCTTTCCATTTGGATCCCTTTCATTTCTTTTTCTTGCCTAATTGCTCTGGCTAAGACTTCCAATACTGTGTTGAGTAAGAGTGGTGAAAGTGAGTATCCTTGTCTGCTTCCTGTTCTCAGAGGTATGGCTTTCAGTTTTTCATCATAGAGTAAGATGTTGGCTGTGGGTTTGTCATATGTGGCCTTTATTGTCTTGAGAACTTTCCTTCTATATCCATTTTATTCAGAGTTTTTATCATAAATGGGTGCTGAGTCTTGTTGATTGCATTCTCTGCATCTATTGTGATGATCATGTGATTTTTATTCTTCATTTTGTTAATGTGGTATATATCACATTGATTGATTGGCTGATGTTGAACCATCCTTGAATCTATGGAATAAATCCCACTTGATCATGGTGTATGATCCTTTTAATGTACTGTTGTATTTGATTTGCTAATATTTTGTTGAAGGTGATCTTATCTTTTCTAGAATAATTTCTTTTAAGCTTTTGGCCCTTTTTGTGTGACTGTGTGGTCCTTACTTTTATTGTAATAGTCTTTTTTGGTAATATAAGTAGCTAACCGTTATGTAGTGTGTAGTGTTCCAAGCATTGATTTAAGGACTTTACATATACCAACTTCTTTAATTCTTTCAAAGCCCTATGAGTTAGGTGCTCTTATTATCCTCATTGTCCAGATGAGAAAATTGAGGCGTAGATTGGTTATTTAAAGGGCACACATAAGTTTTTGGACACACAGTACCTCTAAGCTCTATATTCTCCACCTTCTTTGGGATATTTGGGAGTTAGAAAATTTGCCTCTTGCATTCAGGAGTTTTGTAGATCTCTCCCTAAATACATATATATTGTTTTCTTAACATTCAGCATATCTTGTTTAGTGCCCACTTTGTGCAGCACGTTTTGCAGGCCCTAGCACTGTGGAACATACAAAGATGAGTGAGATCTGGGTCCCTGCCCTCTAGGAGTTTTCTCTTGAACTGTGGAGACAAACCTGTGTAACTGAGCTAATACCAGGGA